GTGCTATGTACCCTAAGACTGGGTAGCTTGGACAGGATATAAGGAAAAGAAAAAGGACTGCTGCTGTTGCTTGCTGCTCACTCCTTTTGCTGCCTTCTGCGTGCCATGAATTACCACACTCCTCTGTGATGTCCCTCTGCCATGCCACCTTGCCTTGGAGCCAGCCAATTATGGACTGAAACCTCTACAAACTGGACTACAATAAATCTCTCTTCCTGTAACTTTGGCTGTAGGGTATTTTATCTCAACACCAAAAAAAGTAAGATACCAGATGATACAAATGTTAGGAGACAAGATGTCAGTTTGCTGACAGGGACTGTCAGGAAGCAGTTCCTACCATTTATGTATAAATTCTCCAGATTCTCAGTATCCCTCCTTAGACAGTGCCAGTCTGTTTGCTCATTAATTCCCTTTAATAGTTGCTCTTCTAATTTATTGGTTATTGTAACTTTCTGACCACTTAAAACTTTGTAACCAGTGCTCTACATTAATCATCTAATTTAACTTTCATAACACCATTATGTAGATAAAAAATTATAGAGGTTAGGACTAGGGATGTAACTCAGTGGTATTGTGCCCGCCTGGCAAGCTCAAGGTCCTGCATTCAATCCCCAGTACCAAAAAAGAAAGAAAAGAAAATTAGAAGTTAAAGTCACACACTAATAAACACTAAAGAAAAGCTAGATGGGCGTGGCGGTGCACACCTGTAATCCCAGCACTCGGGAGACTAAGGAGGATCGCTGTGAGTTCGAGACCAGCCTGGGCTACATAGTGAGTTCCAGGTCATTCTCAACTACATAGTGAGACCCTGTCTCAAAAAAGGACAACAACAAAAAAGCTTAAGTAAGGTATATCTAATTCCAGTCACTGATTTGACTAAAGTAACCAGTACACCTACTCGACTATAGTAATAGCACTAATTGGTTACCACTTGTATCTTAGTATCTCACAATTGTATTACTCAATGAGTAAACAGATGAGGTTATATTTTCAGAGGTAAGAGGAATTTGATGAAATGACTCTCTGGGACCCTCCTTTGAACTTTGCCCTTAACACATTCATGATGGGGCTGTAATTTGTATATCTCACTGCCAGGTGGATTAAACTACTGGTGGTACATGCATGACTGTCACATTGGGTGGCATATTCATTTTATTAGTAAAAACTGATAAAAAGCAATTAGATCCATTTATACCACCACTTGTACAAGCCACCTAATGGCAGTCATGCATGTATCACTGGTAGTTCAAGTCAGCAGGAACATGTTCAACCTGCTCAGTTGGTATGGGACTTAGCTCAGCTGTAGTTCACTTGCCTAGTAGGCACAAAGCCCTCAGTTCAACCCCCAGTGAGAAGCCAAGATGTGAATATAACTGCTCAGTTGCCCACTTATTTCCTAGGGTAAGCCTTTTGGGTAGAGAGCTATTTCCTTGAAAACATCATGCTCTCACCTGTAGATTGGACATTCTATTCCTTTTGTTTACTTTCACTGCTCCTCTTCCACTGCTCCCTGTCTTTCCAGTCTACCTCTTCCATGCTTTTGCATGCCTAGGAATCAAACTTGATTCTTACAGTTACTCACTTTGCTCCACTGCTATAATAGTAGAATGCATATCCATCAGCAAGTTCTGGCTAGCAGAAAAATTAAATAACAAATTTGGGGCACTGAGAAATGGACATGTGAAACTAGTAATGGAGCAAGGGTAACTCCAGAAGATAAGAATCTGGGAGCTTTGACTTGTTAACCTATCATTGTCAACACTAAGGAAAATTCAGAGGAGGGCCCCAGGGAGTCATCTTAACAAAGTGGGATTCCCATTCTGAAAATGTAACCTCACCCATTTACTCATTGAGCATTACAATTGCAAGATACTAAGATGCCAATGCCAGCCAATGGGTACTGTTACTCTAAGAAAGTTGGACTAGCTCCTCAGAAAATCCTCAATATTCTCTCCTAGAATCTTGGTCAGCTCTGGGAGGGAGCCTTGGAGATTAATCACAAATTGATACTGAATCACTGAGGATGTAATAAAAGGTATCAAAATTTCTCTGGGTTCTAAAATGTGTCCAATAACATCATGATGATGAAGTCTGGGGATCAAAGAGATCTGACTTTGAGCCATTAACTTGCTATGAGATCATAACTTCTCTACACCTCAGCCCCTCTATAACACAAACCTAACTTTCTTGCAGAATTATATTTTTTGTGTATTTTTTATTGTGTGTGTGCGTGTGTGCACACACACACATGTGCATGTCCATGGGTGGTTAAAACAGAGTAAAATAAACTTTAGTGTCCCCATACAGATTTCCCTTCCCTCACTCTTGAAAACCAAAAGGACTAACACAAACTCATATTAATTGGATTAAATTATCTGCTTAAAATGCTAAGTTACTTGGACTATTTTTGCTTGTCATTTAAAAAAATGTGTTTTGGGCTGGGGATGTACCTCAGTGGCATTATGCCTTCCTAGCAAGTACAAAGTCCTGAGTTCAATTCTTGTTACCAAAAAATAAAAATAAAAATGTGTTTTACATTCCAAACCATTCTTCCAAGTTCTACTGAAACCTCAAACTATTCACTCTTATTTCGTGTGTACCAACATCCCAAATGAATAAATCCTAAACATTCAGCTGAGTTCTAGAGATCTGTGGAAAGCAAGCTTTGTATCAATTCAAAAGTGATTCACTCTTGTTGTGAAGCAAGCTTCAAGGAGTAAGAGTTGTACCCAGAAAGGTGATTCCAAGATTCCCAAATGCTTCTGACTGAGGCCTTCAGATTTTGTTTGAAACAGATTCTCAGAATATCAAGCACATCTTTATTCAAGTAGAGGTACAAAAGCACATTCCTAAATCAAATGCATACATGTGACTTGTACATATTTTGTTATTTAGGGATTACTTAGTCCTCTGTTTCATGATCACCAGAGGTAATTATTGATCTCTGTAAGATAATACATGTTTGATAGAAAGAAAAACATGCATTTTTCATTTGCTTTTTACATTTAGATTAATTATATATCAATTTCATTTAGACTCCTACCTTGCCCTGATGAGAGCCTATTCTTGCTGATGGGAAGACATAAAATATAGTGGCAGAACTATCCTACAGGTTAGCCACAGGAGGCTTATAATGTATTTTTACATATTTTTTGCAGATCCCTAATGAATATTAACAACATCTGAACTACGAAAGCCTCAATTGCTGGACTGACAACTAGAATTTTAAATAACACTTGTCTTATTCACAAAATGTTATGAAGCTTAAGATGGAAAAAACTATTTAAATGCTTTGACATCTAAATAATCATGAACTGTTTTTTAGGTATATGACAATAATCCTGAACTCTGGAGCCAACATCTGTGATCACTTTCATTAATCAAAAAAGCCATGTTCTTTCATATGACCTGTAAGTCCCATTATAATACAAAATTATAGACAGTCCACACATGTAGTCTAAGATATTCTGGAAACTGAGGCAGGATCAGAAGTTCAAGGCCAGCCTGGACAACAAATGAGACCCTATCTCAAAAGCAAACGAAAACATGATGATGCACAAATAATTACACACAAAGGACCCAAACTTCAAATAGTGTCCTGAATTGACAAAGGGAGTTGGGGAGGAGTCCGATCAGATAAAGCAGTCCTAATGGTTAAATTTTAGCAGGAACAGATCTACTGCTCTCCTAAAATATTGTCCCTAGATACATTACTAAGCACATATTTTATATTCACTTTGAAAATTTTCTTGTTTTTGTATTGTATGTTTTTCGTATAAAGTTTTGTTATGTATATAGCTTCTTGTACATGTTTATAATGTTTGTCCAATCAAAAGCAGACCTGGGGATTTTTCTGGGCTTTAATAGAGGCATATAAGAGAACTCTAAACTTAGACATGCAGAACAGGCACAGAATGAGTGTAGCTAGGCCACCAGGAGTCTTACTGGCTCCCTGATATCAACATCTCTTTCAGAGGGCTACTGATGTGGACAAGGCAGCTAAAAGCTTGGATGTCACTTCAAAAAGTTTACCTGTGTGCCACAAACTCAAACTCAGGAAGTCTGAATCTTCCATACTTACGGATGGGCTGAAAGTGAGAATCCAATTCTTTAAAAAATGCTTCACTGTAGGAAAGAAGATACCAGACCAGCAACATCAAGTAGGAATGGCATATCTGCTAGTGACAAGCTTAAAATTAGGAAGCCACCATCTTAAAGTTCATAAAGGAATGTAGGAATCTAAGGGTTGTAGCTATAAAGAAATTGGGATGTAGGGTCCTCAGAAAAGAGCAGGCCTAAGAATCTGTTTTTGAGACAACTTGGGCCAAGAATAGCAGAAAAAGCTAAATGAGCTACTTTTCAGAAGTTGGTATATACTTTAAGATGCATTAAGACTATCTTGAAAAGCTGTGAATAAGAACGAATTCTAGGTCCAGGGATTTGGCTCAGTGGTTCCACCACCTACCTCGCAAGCTCAAGGTCCCAACTTCGATCCCCAGTACCAAAAAAAGAACCAATTCCAGGATGAATACAAGTGTATAGGCCATATTAAAATGAAAATAGCTTAAATGAGGTCTATAAGTAAAATACACATACTTGGGACATATTAATGCCATGAGCATACAGGACTGCATTCCAAATTATTGTTGAGACTAGATTCTCCTTCAATGAAAAAGATTGAGACTAAATATTAACAATATCATACATAAGTAATAACAATTTTCTCTCCACTATTTTAATTTTGGGTAAAGACAGCTTTAAGTACAGAGGCAAATTTCTCCATCTGCATTTGCATCTGGTATACTTTGATTACAACAAAGACTTGATGAATTCTTACTGAAAAGATCTGCCATATTTACTACACTCAAATGACTTCTTTTAGGTAATTCTTTAATGTTGAATGAGCATTGGGCTGATTGAATTTCCTCACTCACATGCATTTATTAAACTCATAGGCTTTCTGCATGACATGAATCTGATACTGAAGCAAGGTAGTTCCTTTTTTTTTTTTTTCACATATTGGAATTTTATTCCAGTACAAATTCCCCATTATGATTAAGGAATGAAGATAGTATAAATTTACCATGTTCCGTATTTTCATAGTTTTTCTCACTGAAATGGATTTGCATGAGCCAATTAAGAGTTTAGCACTAAAAGCTTTCCAACATTTATCACATTCAGAGGGTCTCCCTCTTTCTCTCATGAACTGTGATTTTGAATACAGTCTGAGCTATGACTGAACCTTTACCACATTCAGTACATACATGACTTCAACCTGGTGTGAACCTTCAGATGTTGAATGAGGACTGAACTTGACTAAATGTCTTCCCACGTTCACTGCATTCGTAAGGTTTCTCTTTGGTATGAATTGTTTGATGCTGAACAAGATGTGCACTCTGACTGAAATTCTTTTCCCATGCATCACAGTCAAAGACTTTTTCTCTGGTGAGAACTTCTTGTTGCAGGGTAAGATCTGAGCTGCGAATGAAATTTTCCTCATAATCATTACATTCATATGATTTCTCTTTCCTATGTATTTTGTGATGTTGAATAAGGCATGAGGTTTGACTGAAAGCTTTTCCACACTCATTACATTCACGTGATTTCTCTCCTGTATGAATTCGCTGATGTTGAATAAGATGTGAATTCAATCTGAAGTCTTTTCCACATTCATTACACGTATAGGGCTTTTCTCTGAAACGAATTTCTTGATGTTTAACATAGGCCAAACCACATTCATCATACTCATAGGATTTCTCTTGGTGGTGGACCCTCTGATGTTCAACTAGATATGAGGTATGACAGAAATCACTGCCACATACAGTACACTTACAAGGCATCTCTCTGTGAATTCGCTGGTGTTGAGTAAGGTGTACACTACGACTGAAGACTCTTTCACAATTGTTACACTTATAAGATTTGGTTTTGGTGTGAATCTTCTTATGCTGAATTACGTCTGAACTCTGACTACATGATTTCTCAGACTTTTCACAGGATTTATCAGATGATTCACATTTATAAGGTTTTTCTCTAGTGTGTATTCTTTTATGTCGACTAAGACTTGAGCTCTGACTGAAAGATTTCTCACATTCTTTACATTTGTAGGGTTTCTCCCTAGTATGGATTCTCTGATGTCTAGTAAGGGCTGAGCTCTGATGGAAGACTTTTCCGCAGGTAACACATTTATAAGATTTCTCAGCAGTAGAAATGCTCTCCCATTTACTAAGGTGGGAGAGATCCATTACACTTTCTTTGTATTCACTATTCTGAAAATTCTGTTGTAGATTTATGTGTTCATGTTTATCAGCAGCTGAGTTCTGGGTGAGGTTCATGTCATACTTATTGTCATCGATATTCTGTATTCTAAGAATTCTGTGATCTGTATCAAGGGTAGAATCCAGACTGAAGCTTTTTTCGGACTCATTACATTCATTGTTCTCACTGGTGAAAGTTTTCTTGCTGATTGCTATTTGTCTAAACTCTCTTTCCAGGAAGAGAAATTTCCTCAGGATTTCCTGAAGCCTTTCTAATCTGTCCTCAGACTTATGTACTTCTCTAGTCTCAGGAACTTGGGCAATATCCTGTTTGAGTCTTCCTACTCTCACTTTGTATGAATGTACTTCTTCCGAAATTTTCTGCTTAGGAATCAACAGCTTGTTCTCTTCTCTGGTTTCTCCATCTGATACAATATATAAATAGAAAATACAAATGTAATCTATACCCTGTACTTTAAAAAAAACTCAGAAGAAAACTAAATAACGTAGTATCTACTAACATAAAAGAAGTTTATTTACTCTGAAAAACAAGCACAAAATCTCAACAGCAGACATTAAGGGCACAAACAGGAGCAGCCTGGTAAGATCCAAAAGGATTGCAGAGTGGCAGAAACTAGAAGTGTGTGTGGCAGGGTAAAGAGGATAACAAGTTAAAGCATTTCAAAACAGCTAGTAGGGAAATAATTCAAAAGAATTTTAGGTAAGCAACTTGAATAGGAGTCCAGTACAACTTGTGCACAGCTAAATGAATACAAAGGGTCAATCTAAACTACAAGTAAAGACAGGAGCTCTCTATTTCACAACAAACAGAGCTCTTCTTTTTGACTACCAAAGCAGTCACAATTTGACTCAACAATTCAACTTTACTTCCCTACTAATTCCATGTGATTGATTCTGACTTACTCACCTGAACAGTCACCTCTTAAGACTTCTCTATTCTTAGTTTCCAGATCAAAGACCTGCAGATCTTGTTCCAGCTGGGAGATCCCATCAGGCTTGGAAATTGGAAATCCTGCTCATAGAGAAGGAAATGGGATGTGGCAATTTATCCCCAGAGGCTACAACAGCCATTTTTTTCTTTTAATTAATGATTAATAGAGAAAGAAGTTAAGTTCTGAGACATTATTAGGAAGGCCTGGAGTGTGAAAAGGACAAAGATCCTCTACAAGGAGCTCAGATTTATGCTCTAGAAAGAGGTGTGTTAAGCAGCAAGATGATAACTTGCAAGCAGCAGCATTCATTTAAACGTTATTCAGACAAGAAAATTTGTGCATGGGTGTGTACCTGTCTTCACAGAAGTTATCATTCACCCTCCATCTGTGGCCTAAAGATAAATCCTTGTAAAGATCTGGCCCTCAAATATCAAATATAATTTTTCTGGACTGGAGGAAGGTGAAACTCAAGCACCTGTTACCTGGCAAGCTAAACTGTAGCAACAAAATCACCAAAGACAGAACTAATGTTCCAAGAACCAATCTCAAGAAACAATTAGAAGTTCATTAAGAAAAACCAAAACATTAGGAATGTAGCTTAGCAGGGCAGCACCTGGCTGGCATGAGGCCCCGAATTTGATTTCTGGTAATAAAAAAGAAAAAAAAAAATTCACAAGAAGAATCAAAAACAGAATGAAGGAATGACTGTTGCTGGTTCCTCTTTGGCACATTTAGGTAACTAACAGGTTAAAACAGTCTGTAATTCAAACTGACTAGAAGAGTATGAGATTCCCAACACAGAAAAATGATTATTATAGTTTGGCATGGCCAGGTACTCAGGAGGTTAAGGCACGAGGATATAAGTTTGAGGTCAACCTAGACAACATAGCAAGACCTTGTCCAAAATAAAAAGGGCTAGAGATATAGCTCAGAGATACAATGCTTGCCTAGAATATGTGAGTAACCCCCACACAAAAAAAGATTGTTTCAAAAAATGGAAATGCTGTGCTCACTTCGGCAGCACATATACAATAAATGGAAATGCTTATTACCTTGGATATAAGTTTGAGGTCAACCTAGACAACATAGCAAGACCTTGTCCAAAATAAAAAGGGCTAGAGATATAGCTCAGAGATACAATGCTTGCCTAGAATATGTGAGTAACCCCCACACAAAAAAAGATTGTTTCAAAAAATGGAAATGCTGTGCTCACTTCGGCAGCACATATACAATAAATGGAAATGCTTATTACCTTTTTATATATATATATATATATATATATATTACATATACTGAATCACCCCAATGAATCTTATTGGGTTGCACAAATATGTCTCAAGAAAGAAAAGTTAGTTTCTATGTACTTGAACAGTCAATGACAACCTTACCATTAGGCTTACATTCTTGTTTATTCAACATTTACAGAGTGCCTCTTATATATAAACAGTGAGGAAATGGAGAGCCCACACAAAAAGTCCATACTTTCTGAAGCTTGCATAATGGACCTCTCTTTTAATGCTAAAGTAACAGGCAGTATGCTTTATTATTGAGCCCAGAAAGCATCTAAAAGTATACATACAAGGCCTGGTTCAAGCCACTCATCTCCAAAAAGCTTTCTCTGCACTTACTGAATGTCTACAAAATGTACTTTTGTTCCCCTTATCCTACATGTCATCACATAATGGTATTAAAGAGACTCTTAATAAGTAGTTTCAGGGTTCATCATCCTCACTCAATTTATACTTTTCACAGCAGGGACCATGTGTCTCTTATCTTGCACTTCTTTTGATCTGCTTACTAGCTATTTATTGAGTACCACTTCTGTGTCCAAGTGTCAACCTATTAAGAGCTACTCAATTTTATAAAAACACATTGGTCCTGGAAAATGTGATGACCAATAGGTACCCCTTGAGATTCTATGTGCTAGCCTATGAGTAAAGAGGTCAAAATTGATATATAAGAGAAATTTACTATGTTCCTGAATTCCAGCTGGGGATTAACAGAGTCAATTCTCCTTCTGGACACTTTTTAAAGTCCTCTGTGGCAAGTAAAATAGTTTTACTAGAGTGGGGATGTAGCCCAGAAGTGGAGGGCTTGGGCTTGCCTAGCATGCACAAGGCCCCGGGTTGGTTCAATCCTAGGCAATGAAAAAGAAAAAGGTTAAAAAAGTATGACCTAGAGCTACAGAACTTGCCTTGCACATACAAGGGCCTGGGTTCAATCCCACACTAAAACATATATACATACACACACACACACACACACACACAAAAATAGTACCTCAATTCACCACAATCGTGGACCAAATTCCGCAACCAGAATCATGGAATTAAGTTAATAAACTGAGGCACCCCGTGTACGTGTGCATATGCAAGCACACATACATATATACATATACATGCATATATACACACTTATATACATGTGTACATAATATGTATCGTGAGTGCTACAGCACTTGTCTAGCATGTGTGAGGACCTAGATTCACTCCCCAGTGTGGAAAAAATAATACATAGTGTGACATGAAGAAGCATTTAAAATTTAAGACAAACCAGCTATTTGCTTTATAGTAACATTTAAAATACAAATGCACAACACACTCAAAAAAAGGTTGCATCATGTGGGACGAGTAGTTTGAGACTCTGTATTGAAGAAAGTATAACAGAAAATGTCTAACAGGCAGTTAAGAGCAAGGACTACAGCTTAGATGAGAGAAAAGGGTTTTCAATAGGTTTAAAGCCACTTGTAACATAAGTATCATCATAGTATTAAGGGTGCCATGCCAAGAGCTTTACAAATATTCAATGATTTAATACTCACTACTCTGTAAGGTTGAAACATGATCATTTTCATCAAAAGGGAATTTAAGATGTCAAAGTAACTTCCTCAAGGCCACAATAGCTGGTGAAACTAGGAATCTGACTTTAAACACTCTGCTAGCAAAAAAGTAATGATAGTGAAATAAAACCCATCCCTTCCCCCAAAACACATACAAAAAGATAACAGTAGATCAACATATTAACAATAGAATAAAAGGTAAAAATAAAAATAACAGTGAAAAAGTGATTAAAGCATGGAGACAGAGCCAGGATCCTAAGAATTTCGAGCCATAGAAACTTTAATTAAAAGGGATCTACAAGATAATTTAGTATCATAGAAATGTAAATCTTTTAATAATAAAAATCCAAACCCCTAGGCAATAGTCTAAGCAATATACAATCTGAGGAAATTCTACTATAAAGAAAAATTTTTTTTGGTAAGGGGGATCTTGCCCTTGCATGGCAGGAGGTGGAACCACTGAGCCAAGTCCCCAGCCCTGTAAAGAAATAATTTTAGGGCTGGGGATTTAGCTCAGCGATTCAGTGGCCTGCCTTGCAAGCACAAGGACCTGAGTTCAATCCCCGGTACTAAAAAAAAAAAAAAAAAAAAAAAAAAAAAAAAAATTAACATGCTCCCTAAACTTTCATTTACATTAGAAAAATCTCATAAATATAATTCTCTGTGCATTCCAAAACATTAACTAACTAGCATGAGCCAGGCACTCATATACATAATCTGATTTAATTATCAATACAACTCAAAAAGGTAGACATTATTTTTCATGTTTTGCAGATGAAGAAAAGTGTAGACTAATTTGTTTGACATATCATAGCTAGTAAGTCACAGTAAGTTTGATTCTACAGTCCAGTCTTTCCAGTCTATCATATTGCCTGTCACAGAAAGTATTAATGGTAGTTTTCTTGCCAATGAGCTGAATGCTTTTTTCCAAAATTTTAACTCAAAACTCTGCTTTCAAAATATGTACTTGCTTTAAAATTTTTCCCCTCTAAAACTAATTCATTTTTATTAGATCTTTTAATTTTTTAATGTAAATCTCAATCATTTTCTAATTAGTTTTATTGTAGTATGGTCTTTAAAAATATTTGAAGCCAGGTGTGGTGGCACGTTTGTAATCTCAGTACTCAGGAGCTGAGGCAGGAGGATCGCTGTGAGTTCAAGACCAACCTGGGCTACATAGTGAGTTCAAGGCCAGCCTGGAATACATAATGATATCTTGTCTCAAAAAAGTGGCAAGATTTCCAAGCTTGAGGCCAGAATAGGCCACTTAGTAAGACCTTCTCTCAAAATAAAAAGGAGTGGAGATGTAGCTCAGTGGTACAATACTTGTCTAGCATGCACAAGGCCATATGTTCAATCCCTAGCACCACAAAAATTAAATAACATTTAAATTTTACTTTTTTGGCTTCTTGTTTTTACCAGAATTGTGCTAAAAATTTTTGCAATTTGGAAGCTTCATGCTTCCCTTCATGGTCCTTAATAAATATGCAAATAAATATGCAAATAAAATGTCTTCTTAGCACTGGGGGGCGGGTTCTAACTGGGCCTCATACACTAGGCCAAGCATTCTAGCACTGAGCTACATCCCTAGGCTTTGGGGGGGGGCAGGAATCGAACTCAGGTCCTTGGGCTTGCAAGGCAGGCAGCAGAACCTCTAAGCTAAGTCCCCAGCCCTACCCAGGCTTTTTTAAGAAAAAAAAAAACTACTAAGTTGCCAAGTTGTCTTCAAACATGTGATCTTCTGCCTCAGCCTCTCCGGGAGCTAGGGTTAGTCATGGGCAACCACAATGAGCAACAGCACTCTTCCACAGATACCTCTTGTACTAGACTATATTCCTAGATAGTTTTACTTTGTGTATGAATGGTCTTTCTGATCCTAAACTGTATAAACTGGTCTGTGTGTCCAACTCATCATGGTCATTTTGACCTTTTTTTGTTTTTTTTGGTACCAGGGATCGAACTCGGGCCCTTACACTTGAGAGGCAGGTGGCAGAACCACTGAGCCAAATCCCTAGCCCTTGACTTTTCTTTTTATCAGAGTACAGATAACCCATTAAAAACATTTAAAATTCTGAAGCAAAAGGATTGTAAGTTCAAGCCCATCCTCAGTAACTTAGTGACTTGGGGAGATCCTGCCTCAAAATAATAAAGGATGGGAATGTAAGACAGCGTGAAGACCCTTAAATCCCCAGTACTGAAAAAAAACAAATTTTATATGTCACATATGTCTACACTTATTAT